GGGACACTGAACCCCGTCTCAGGTCCTCATAGGAACCTGTACCCCGGGTGGTTTCTCATCTCCGCCCTGGGGACCTGCATCCTGTGCTGCCCCCCCGGGAACCTGCACCCTGGGAACCTCACTGAGTGGTCCTCTCCATCCCCGGACCCTCCCCTGTCCCACGTCCTCTTCACTCAGGGGACACAGCGCACCAGGCTTCCTATGCCTTCAGCTCCCCTCCACAGAGCCGCCGTGCCCGAGGTTTCCTCTCCAAGGACACGGCACCGTGGGCTCTGCCCCACACACCCAGCTGTGCCCTCGCTGCCGCGCAAGGGGTTGGTGGGCACAGCCTTTTTGGGAGTCCCCTTGCTGCCTGCCTGCCCCTCCATGCCCACTGCTCCCAAACATTGCCTGCCCTCAGAACCCTGCCAGGCTGTGTCCAACAGCACCTTTCCCAGGAGGTTTTGCCTCTGCATGAACTCTCACAGTTGCTTTTGCACTGACCCATGCAGGGCTCTGCAGGGGCTCCCAGCCAGGTCCTCATGCTCCTGCCAGGGCAGGCAGTATCACCTTGTCCCCTGGCACTGCCCCTAGCCCGGACCAGAACCACACTGAAGGGGTCTCTGCTGGAGCAGCAGCAGCCTGATCCCTGCAGGTTGAGGTTGTTGCTGGTGTGACCCTTCCCAAACCAAGCCCTTCAGAGCAGCCTGTGGATGAGCCCAGTGGGACAGGGGACAGTGCCGCGGGCCCTGCCTGTGCTGCCTGCTCCCTTTCATGCCTTCCTTGCAGCAGCATTTGCAAGCGAGGCCAGAGCAGGAGCCGCCCTAAAAGGTTGTGAGAGTTTGGGAGCAGCTGTGGAGCAGCTGCTGGGGCCAGTGAGGGGGCTGGGGCCGTGGCAGGCGCCCCACAGGAGGCTCAGATGGCTTTGGGGGTGGATGTGGTGGGACTCTGCTCAGGGACATGGTGGGAGCCCTAAGCCTGCCGCTGCCAGGCTTTGTTCTCAGAGCAGCGAGGCTGCAGCCCCTCCCAAGGCTCCACCTCCACAGCCCACCCGAGACCCTCCTTCCGCTGCCTGTGCACAAGCTCCTCACATGGTGCGCAGAGCTGGTGGGCAAGAGCTGCTCTTGGCAGAGCACAGAGGCACCTTGGGTGGTAGAGCCATCATCAGTAGGGGCCAGAGGCAATAGGGCATGAACCCAACGGAGCTGAGCCCCCTGTGAGTGCAGACCTGGCAGTGGCACAGAGGGGCTGGCTGTGGCACTGTGGCTCTGCCCTGGCCCTGCTCCAAGGCCGGGCATCCCAGGGCTGAGCTGGCAGAACCTGTTCCCCGGCCGTGCTACCCTAGCAGGCTCCGTCCCGCATGGCTGCCTCCCCCTGCCCTTTCCCTGCCCTCCACTCACTGGTTGCTGTCCTGGCTGAGCCAGGGTTGGCTCGGTGGCTGCTCACGTGGGGCCACAGCCGCCTCACCTTCCCCTGTGCTTCCCCTGACCTTGGCTGCACAGCTGGGACTCACGCTCAGGCACTCACCCATCCCTGCTCCTCCCAGCCCTGCCAGGCAGGCACCGTTTTTACAGCTGTGTCCTGCTTCTCCTCAGTGTGACCCTCCCACTGCCCACACGTGCCCCAGCCTGAGCACCCAGCCCAGCCCCAGCCTGTCTCCATCACTCCTCCTTTCCCCGCCTCATCTTTGACGGGGTTTTGCACTCCTGCAGCTGGCAGTAGGAAGATGTGGCACCACTGCCCAGATCTGGGTGATGCCAGGGGCCATTTGGCTTCCCAGAGCCAGCTCCTGCCCCCGGCAGAACCTTCCAGTAGATTAGCAAGACAATTTTCCTTACAATTGCTCATCACTGCAAGAGCTGCAATTATTAATGACCGTTCCAGCTGTCAGAGCGGAGCAGGAGGAGAACAGCCGCTTCCCCACACCCGCTGCCCTCAAGCCCGTTCCAGGCGGAGGTGCCGGCACGGCCTCACACCCATCCTCCGGGACAGCAGCTGCATCGCGTGAGCGAACGCTTGGCTGCCCCACGCCGGAGAACGCCCAGAGCTGGTGCACGTGGCCCATGTGTGTCCCATGACTTCTCGTCCCCTGTGCAGGACTCAGGGCCAGGGCACAGCAGGGACCAGAGGACACTGCCAGGTAAGGGGGGACCACTAGGGTCTGACCCCTGCCCCATTTCCCCTCGCTGCGTTTTGCCCCTCAGATTAGTTACTGCCTCTGTTAGTGATCCTGCCTGCTACAAACAGAGGGATGACCCAGGCAGCACAAGGGGCTCAGCCTGGGCGGACGCGGGCAGAGGAGGAGAAATCAGAGGCGAAGATTTTCCCTGGAAAGCTGGAAGGAGCTGAGTCAGGCCCCAGGGGGGGCAGGATGGGGGCAGAGCATGACCTTCCCAGCTGGCTGCACCTCGCTCGGCAAAACCGCAGGCCTGGAGACAGCCGGCACTCGCAGAGATGTGTTTATTAAAGGCACTAAAAGCACCGTGGCTACAACAGTGCAGCCCGACCAGAGGGTGTGGGTTGGGGGGAGGCATCGATGGGCCCAGGACGGTGGTGACAGAGCACTCTTTGGTAGGAAGCTGTGCCCAAGCCTTGCAGGTGCAGACAGCCAGCTGGCCATCAACACAAGCTGCCAGCTCAGGGCTGGGGCACACCAGGCTGGGGGTGCTGCCAGCCTCAGAGGAGCAGAGGGGTTGCAAGGCATGGACTCCCCTTGGAATGCAGCCAGGGCAGGAAGCCACTGCAGCAGTTTGTGGGGTGATCGGGGGGCTGCTGTGGGCAGGGGAGCAGGGCTGGGTCTCCAGCCCCATGCACTAAGCACACAGCAGGGAAGGTGAGGAAGAGTGTGGCAGGGGGCTGGTCCTCACCCATTCAGGGATGTGTTAGGAACATCCCTGCCCCAGCAAGGGAGCAGCCTGGCTGCACCAGAGCATCCCCCATTCCAGCCTCAGCATGGCTGTGCTCACTATGCTGCGTGGTTCAGGGGCAGGAAATCCATGCAGTATCCCCTTCCCAGGGCTCCTAGGGCCAGTCAGGAAGCACAGAAGAAGTCACCCAGCTATAAGGGCTCTGCACCCAGCACTGTCTCCAGCTGAATTCAGGCCAGGAGCTGCCATGAAAGAGGCAGGAGCAAGGGGAAGGGCCAAGGGCCCAGCCTGGCTCCCTGGAGGCATCAGGATGGGGGGAGAGGAGCATGCAGGGCCAGGGGCACGCGTGGGCACAGCTGAACTTCCACCCCTCACACATGGGAGAAAGCATGGCTCTTGCAGAGCGGCTTGTCCTTCTTGGAGTAGAATGTCTTCCCTTCCAGGTTGGTCTGGCAGATCTGGGAAGGAGAGTACAGGTGGTCAGGTCGGGGGGCTGAGTCAGCCTCCAGGTCTCCCCTACCCCCAGGGCCCAGCACTGGTGTCACCCAGGTGCCAGGGACCAAAAGGCTTAGAGCCAATTCCCAAGCCCCCAGCACAGAGCCAAGTGGGGAAAACCTTGTGGCAACAGGGTCCCTGTGCTGCTGGTGTACCCCACGCAGGGCATGACTGCTGGGGAGAGACACAGGCACATGGCTCACCGCACAGACGAAGCAAGTGTCGTGCCAGCTGAACCCCAGGGCCTCCAGGAACCGGTCCCCAGCGTCGATCTTGAAGTCACAGCCACGGCACTTGGTGCCAAACATCTTCTCGTAGTCTGTGAGGAGAGGTAGAGCCTAGGTCAGCATTTCTCCACACCACAGCCTCTCATCCCAGGGGAGCAGGGCTGCAGCTCAGCCAGGATCCCACAGGCACAGCCTGGGGCCAACCTGCTGCCAGTCCTGAGGGGATGATGCCCCAGACAAAGTGCCCGGGCCATGCAGGTGGCCCAGCCACCACAGGGCTGCAGGGAGGAGGCAAACCTCAACTCCCAGGGTGCAGCACTCACTTTGATGTACATCCTCCCTCATCACCATGGCAACACAGGAGCGATGGCACTACCGGGAGGACCGGGATGGAGGACTCGGGGCTGCAGGAGCTCCCCATGGCCCAGGGCAGCTCACCCCTCCACCCCTGTGGGCAGCTGCTGAGCCCCAACAGTGCACCAGGGCCACATGGGGTGACACATGGGGTCCCTGGGTCCTACCTCTCTCGCAGTAGGGCTGTCCCTCCTCCATGTAGAAGGCTCGGTTGCGGATGGGAGTTTTGCAGGCATTGCAAGTGAAGCACTGCACGTGCCAGGTCATCTTCAGAGCATGCATAACCTCCTGGAGGGGAGCCACTGTCAGCCAGGGGCAGGACCACCCAGGGCAGGAAGGGACAAGGGATCCCATGGGATGGGATTAGGGTGGGAAGGGATAGAGCCAGGCACCCATAGGTGAGCAGGGAGCAAGGACAGGAGGTGCAGGACAGACTGAGGGACACTCACTCCGGTGATCTTCTTCTTGCACTTGGCACAGCTGGGCGCATAGCGTGTGTCGTAGCACTTGGGGCAGAAGATGGAACCTTTCTCCTCAAAGAAGCCACCCTCATCCAGCATCTTCCTGCACTGGCAGCAGGTGAACTCCTCGGGATGGTAATAATGTCCCAGTGCCACCAGGTACCGTCCCCTGTGGCAGGACAGAGCCATGTCAGCCGTGCCAGGGCCCAGGACGCTGGCAGGGGGTGGCGTTGGCCAGGGCTCACCTGATGACCTTGTTGCACTTGTAGCAGAGGGGGGTGCGGCCGGGCCCCTCCGGGGCCTGCTGGGCTGCCTGCACGATGGAGCTGCGGTTCTGCATGGGGGTCGGCGTGGCCGGCTGGCTGTGCTTGCTCACCACCGTGCTCGTCTTGTCTGGGGCGTAGCGCTCGGCGAACGACGGGTCCACAGCCCACGGTGGGCGGCTGGTGGGGCCCGGGGTGGCAGTGGGGGTCCTGGGGGCTGCATGCACACACAAGTCTCTACGACAGTCCTGATTCCTCTGCAGCCCCCTCCCAGAACCTGTGGCTGGGTAAGTGGCATCACCCAGCAGCCCCACTCCTCTCCCAAAAAGCCCAGAGATGTTTTGCTTACCCAGTCCTGGCTCAGTCTTCATCGCTGCTCCCGGAGATGGGTCCGACATGGAGACCTGGCTACAGAACACGCAGTTAATTCAGCCTGCCCCACTCTGCTGCCCAGAGGGTGCAGGCAGGGCCCCCCACCCCAACAAGCAGGCAGGACCTGGCCAAGCCCCCGTGCCCAGCCGGTAACTGGTTTGGTGATGAGGTACCATCAGCCCTGCCAAGACACAGCACCCCTAGGGTGTCTGGTACCCACTGTGGTGGCCTGAGGAGTGGCAGGAGGGAGGGATCTGGGCTGCTTCAGACTGACCAGGGACCCCGGGGACCCCACAGACTCTGGCTGCCTGCTCACACATGGTGATCGCTCACAGTCACATTGGGGTGCAGAGGGGCTTGGACCCAACGTGATGCAGGGAGCCCTGGGGCCCAACTCAGCAGAACTGGGGACAAGCAGGGCAAGCCAGGGCCAGAGAGGCACAGCCCACCTGAGAGAGGGGATAGGGACTGAGGGAGAGCCAGTGGCTCTGTTCCTCTCCAGGGTAAACACAAGAAGGAGATGGCTACAAACCCAGGAGCTTCTATTAGTGGCAGAGCAAACTGGGCAGAGCTGGGACCCAAGGGCCACAGCACCAGGGCAGAAGGCATCACAGTCAGGTGAACGCAAAAACTGGGGTGCGGTGCACCACTCCTGCCCAGCTTCATGGAGCAAGGAACAGCCCTGGCTCCATTCCCTGCCCCACACAGGGAGAAGCAGGTGACACCCACCAGCTCTGCCCAGCTGCCCCACACCAGGCCCACAGGACACCATGCCCCAGGTGCAGGTGCTGCCCAAACATCAAAACACCCCAGCAGGATTTTGCCAGTGCCATCAGCCACCCCCAACCCGCTGTTTCCGGGACACGACGGTGCAGCTCAGCATTCCCAGCTGAGGAGCAACAATGCCCAACAGGTCCTGCCCAGGACATGCAGCCCCATCGGGCTCCTGCTGCCACACACTCCCCTTACCTGGGCTTCCTAACAAACACCTCATCATGATCCTCCACTGAGCGCAGCAGGAGAAAAAGGAGGAAACAGAGTCAGTCTGCTGAGACCCAGGCCCAGACACAGCAGCAGGGGAAAGGGAAGGGAGGAAAACTGACCTCCCCACCTGCCATCCCCCTGCCCCAAGGGGCACAGCCCTTGGGCCAGAGCCATGGGGCAGAGCACAGCCCCAGACCAGCAGCACCACCACGAGCCCACAAACAGCCCCGGGCAGCTCCCGCTGGCTCAGCTGCCCACGGGGACCACACAGGGCCAAAAACAACACTCTGGTGCCACAATACAGCCGCTGCTGGGCTCCAGTAACCCAGGCAAAGTCCAGCACCCCCAGCCAGCACCAGGCCCTGCAGGAACTCACTGCCATCTGTG